AGAGAGAGAGAGAGAGAAGAGAGAAGGGGGGAGCGGGAGAGGGGAGAGATTGCGAAGATTGAGACACCTGCATACACACACACGCGCGTACGAACGTGTGTACAAAATAAATAACAACTCTCACTTTTTTCAAAAAAATAGATAGACAAGTATGTAGATATATAGACAGATAAATAGATAATTAATAAATAGATATATAGATAAATTAATTGACAGATAAATAGATAAATAACAACTCACCTTTCTTCCCAGATAAATAGACATGTACGTAGATATATAGACATAAACAGATGTAGATGTATAGATAGATAAATAGATAGTCATGTATGTAGATTAATAGATAAATAGATAAATAATAGACAGATAAATGGATAAATAACAACTATCTCACCTTTCTTCCCAGTTAAATATATAGGCATGTATTTAGATATATAGGCAGATAAATAGATAAATAATAGACAGATAAATAGATAAATAATAGACAGATATATAGATAAATAATAGACAGATAAATAGATAAGGAATAGACAGATAAATAGATAAATAATAGACATAAATAGCATAAATAGAAGATAAATAATAGACAGATAAATAGATAAATAATAGACAGATAAATAGATAAATAATAGACAGATAAATGGATAAATAATAGACAGATAAATAGATAAATAATAGACAGATAAATAAATGAATAATAGACAGATAAATAGATAAATAATAGACAGATAATAGATAGACAGATAATATAAATAGATAAATAGATAAATAATAGACAGATAAATAGATAAATAATAGACAGATAAATAGATAATAATAGACAGATAAATAGATAAATAATAGACAGATAAATAGATAAATAATAGACAGATAAATAGATAAATAATAGACAGATAAATAGATAAATATAGAAAATAGATAAATAATAGACAGATAATTAGATAAATAATAGACAGATAACCCCTAATAGATAAATACTACCCTCTCACCTTCCTTCCCAGAATGCTCGCGGAGAGTGTGGGAGCTGCAACAGGCTGGCGAGAAGTCCGTCACTCTGCACTGTGCACCGAATGGCAATTATGAGCCCTTGCAGTGTGAAGACGGCTGGTGTTATTGCATTGACCCTGCAACGGCCACGCCCTACGGATCCCGACTTCCCGAGGGCGTGATGGACCGCTTGGATTGCTGTGAGTGTTTGGATGTGTTCGTGTGTAAATGGCGCAGCTTTGGCTTTGTTTTGCTACGGTTGGGTATTGGTAGCGTTATTTATATTTTTTCTTATCGTTTTTTTTTTTATTCTATCTGCTCCTCCTCCGTCTTATTTATTTTGTTCTTTCTTCTTCTTCCTCTTATTATTTTTCCTGGTTCTCTTCCTTTTTCTAATTCATTTTTTTCCTCTTATTATCATTATTCCACTTATTTTTTCTTATTTTTCGTAGATGATATAGTGAAGACACAGAAAGCAATCACATCGAAATAAATCTTAATTTTAAGCTGTAATTCTTTCGAAGTATGTTCCTTGGCATAGCCAGCGTCCATGTCTTTGGAATACTGTTTGAGTTTAATACGCGAAATGACAATAATCAACAAACCAGTTTAGAAAAAGGAACTTACTTGAAACAGAACTTCCTAGGCCCGGGTTTATTATGCTGGACTCAATGATAAACAACCCGAAAGTAGTTGTTGCCTTGTTTAAAATAGGTTAACTGATCCGAGTAAAGAATGAGTTTCTAAATGCGCACACACACATAGAAATCCGTTCATAAATTCATTCATGTGAGTGCGTGTGTGCGTTAGCTTATCTGTCCTACCGCCTTACTACAAGGAACATAAAACCAGGTAGCTCCACTTCAATTTGTCCTGTTGAGCTAAAAATTGAAGTTAGACTTTTCTAGGAGTATTCTGACAGCTGTTCATGGTTGGAAATTCTTCGTTATCATAAATAAAAGAGGGAAATTTTTGTTTTACTTCTGGTAATGATAATTATGTCGAGTACATTATACAAATAATTATGTATCTAGCGAGATCTGATATCTCACAGCGCACTCTCATTGGCTAAACGTGATGAAGTCGTTATTTCCGCCCCCTTTATTTGGCATGGCCAGCATATGCGATGCTAGTGTATTTTCTGTAAAAATGCCCCATCATTTACGTTCATGCATACTTCGCATTCTTTCTTTCTCTCTCTCTCTCTCTCTCTCTCTCTCTCTCTCTTCTCTCTCTCTCTCTCTCTCTCTCTCTCTCTCTCTCTCTCTCTCTCTCTCTCTCTCTCTCTCTCTCTCTCTCTCTCTCTCTCTCTCTCTCCTCTCTCTCTCTCTCTCTCTCTCTCTCTCACCCTATCTATCAATCTCCATATCTGTCTATCTATCTCCATATCTGTCTATCTATCTCCATATCTATCTATCTATCTCCCTATCTATCTATCTCCCTCCCTATCTATCTATCTCCCTACCTATCTATCTATCCCTCTCCCTATCTATCTATCTATCTATCTATCTATCCCTCTCCCTATCTATCTATCTCCTTACCTTCAGACAACAAGACCCTGGTTGGAGCGCAGTACCTGAGGCGATGTGAGAGCGAATACCACGCCCACATGGAGCTCTATGACCTAATGGAGTTCAAAGGCGTGCAGGGGCCTTCGACGCTCCTGGAGTGTGACGCAGATGGATCCTACTCAGGGAAGCAGTGCGAAAAAGGCAGGTAAGGATCCTGCAGTGGGATTTTTGCGAACAAGGACACTAACTTGTTATTTTTACAATATCTGATGTAGTTTTCCTTTTGTCTCAATAAACGTGTCAAAGTAAAAAAAGTCAGATGCGCCAGCTAAGCCTTGGAATGAGCAGTAATTCGTAAGGTTTGGAGGATGAGGGTCATTTTGAGTTGATCAGCTGTCTGAGGGGGGATTTTCATCTTTCTTGTGTGTGAAATTCCTCTGAACAAAATGTGATAACGTGGGGAAAAGTTAGTGGTTTATTAATACATTTCCCAACAGTTGCAGATGCTACGACAAGTATAAGAACATCATTGCAGGTCTAGCAGGATCAGGATGCCGTAAGTAGTCTCTGCTGATAAACTGTTTTGGAGAGACAGACAGAGTGGGTGAGTGAGTGAGTGAGTGTGTGTGTGTGTGTGTGTGTGTGTGTGTGTGTGTGTGTGTGTGTGTGTTGTGTGTGTGTGTGTGTGTGTGTGTGTGTGTGTGTGTGTGTGTGTGTGTGTGTGGTGAGTGAGTGAGTGAGTGAGTGAGTGAGACTGAGAGACAGAGACCGCCGTGCACACATGCATACACACAGAGACACAGATAGAGACGAACATGCATACATACATACACACAGACAGAGACCAATAGAGACAGACACGCAGACAAACAAACTGACAGACGCAAAGAGAGAAAAAACATGACAAAGCCAGAAGGAAAGACACAGCCGGAAGAACGTAACATATGGTATAATGAACACCCTGTCTTGTCATTTCCACCCCTAATACTCATTTCTTTCCTCACACTTCTCATCTCATCCTACCCCCCCCCCCCCCCGTCCCTCAGAGTGCGCACGAGATCTCTGGATGAACCAACAGATGAACATCAACATCGAAATCTCTTGCCAAGTGGATTCCGGCAGTTACAAGAGCATCCAAACCCGCGGGCAATACAGTGTCTTGACGGGGTTCGCGCCGGGCTGGTGAGTAGTATTTCGTGATGCTCTTAAGAGACTGAGTTGATGAAGAGGAATTGAAGATGTATGCGTCCAATGCGGATGTACGTACACATGCGGATGTACGTACACATGCGGATATACGTACACATACGCTTGCACGCATACATACGCATACACGCATATATACACATGCACGCATACACACACACACACACACACACACACACACACACACACACACACACACACACACACACACACACACACACACACACACACACATACACACACGCACGCACGCACGCACGCACCCACGCACGCCCCACGCACGCACCCCCCCACACACACACACACACCACACATCCACACATCCACACATCACACATCCACACATCCACACCACACACACACACACACACACACACACACACACACACACACACACACACACACACACACACACACACACACACACACACACACGGACGCACAAACGCACGCACGCACGCACGCACCCACACACCCACCCCACACCCCCCCACGCACCCCCCCCCCACACACACACACACGGACGCACAAACGCACGCACGCACGCGCACGCACGCACGCGCACGCACCCACCCCACCCCACACCCACCCCACACCCCCACGCACCCCCCCCCACACACACACACGCACCCCCCCCACACACACACATCCACACACCCACACCCACCCACCTCCCTCTAACATCAATTCCATATCCCTCAGGTATACCAATCAGCCGCAGGGAAGCTAGGATGCGAAGCGGCGAAGAAATGCCAAAATGGAAGCAAACAAAGTAACTGCGATAATGCATGCCAGGACTGCTCTCAGGAAGACTATGTGAAGGCCAACTGACATAAAGGGGAGGAAATTAGGTTGGAGCTAATGTAACGGATTCTTTGATTAACATGATGGAAAAGAGACCCGTTTAGGTGGGTGGTGTACTGTGCATGCCTTTATGTGAAGGAAGACGGGTTATGAGAGCCTGTTTTCTAACTTATCTTTATGGTAACTGTTTAAATGAATTTCAAGTGTATTGTTATTATTATTATTATTATTATTATTATTATTATTATTATTATTATTATTATTATGATAGTTGGTGATAGAATATATGTTACTTAAGGGTAAACTTGATTACAAAATGATTTTTTGAAATAACTTATCATTCAAAACATGGATGGACTCCATTATTTTAGGGATAATAAATTAGGATTTAATATCGCACTTTTCGAAGTTTATCACCATGGGAGATCCTAAATAACTATTAAGATTTGAAAGTAAACTTAATAGAACATGTATGATTATTTTTTCTCATTATATACTACCAATATGAAACAAACCATTTTGTTATTATTATCCTAGATATTTATACTTTAAGAGACAGAAACTATTAAGAAAAATAACTTGTGAAATATATTATATGGACTTTTATACAACCATAAGTGGAGTGAATGCAGACAAATATTTGCTCAACTCTTTCTGGCTTAAAACAGTCAAACATTTTATTTGTGAACACAGTAACTTCACTTTTTTCATTTTATTTGACTATATACATAGCCAAAGATCAACATCAATGATCAGGTAACATCATCATCATCAGCATCATCATGTTATTATTGTTCTGTTTGGCTGCATTTTATGGTTAATCAACCTATCAGTGTTGCAAAAATTGATGCTGTTGCATGTGTTAGTCATTTGAATCATGTATCCTGTTAATTCAACAGCAAACACGTGGGTTATATTTGTTCATTATGATATGAAATCACAATAGGATGAATGAATACTGCCAAAAAAATAAAAATAAAATAAATAACAATCAGTTAAATAATACAATTTATTTATTTGTGTGTGTTCTTTTTCTTTTTGCCACATGGATCTCATAAGTTTCTCTCTTTTGCTGTTATCTGTTTCAACTCTCTCATTTAATTTCTTTTTTTCATTTCTTTGGCTCTGCCATCCATTTGTGTAGACTGAAATTTATAATTCCTCCACTTCCATATTAAATAGATTTATGCAATTTCAAGAAACCATCCTCATTACAACTAATCACTGCACTTGAGTCGGAAAAAAGGTTAAGCAATAATATACTAGGTAACAATGCAATATAATGTTTTATAAAGTTTCCATAATGTTTTACAAAAATGGAAAATTTCTTTAGTTACAAAAGTATCTATGACAAGGTTACAATAACAGCAATGGAAAGCTTTGAATAGCATGAACTACATCTAAAGTAGTCAAAATTTCAGTAAACAATAACAACACATTTTACTCAAGAATTCATAACTTACATATGTATCCAAATTCACACAAAAGTGTCCATGAACTGCTAAGTGTTTTCATCCTAGCATACATTTTTTCTTTTATAGAAAATCAAGATGGCTTTCATCACTCACACATGCACAAAATATAAATCATATAATCATATAATTTTTTTTCCAGTCTAATATATTCTTTTCCACATACCACAAATCACTGATATGTTGTCCTCTTAAACCACTGTATCTTACATCATTACAAAATACAGCATTGTAATGTTGTAGTTGTAATTTGTCACTGTGATAATGACAATAACAGTGACAGAAAGAGGCAGCGAGGAAGGGAGGGAGAGAATGTATGCAGGTATGCATTTACACCTCTGTATTAAGCTTAAAACTCAGATTTTAAAACACATTTAATTCAACAAGATAAGATTCTAATAACCTAAGGTCTTTTGATATTCAGTTATCAAAGCAGAAACTATTAATATCAGTACTGAAGTCTTGAATCCTGATGTCATCTCAGCACTATGTATTTCACATAAAAATCCTTTCAACAAAGCCATTTTAATATTAATGATTAATGGTTAACACAAATAATTGTGCTTAGAAATCAAAGGTCATATAGCACTATAGTAAAGTACTGTGGCAAAAAAGGTAAAATTGAGTAATGATTAAATCAAAATGTGTTAAAAGTCAAAGGTCATACAGCACTATAGCATAGAATGGTGACAAGGGTAAAGAGAGAGAAATGAAGGCCATCTACACATCTGAGGAAGGAGAACAAATCGTCCAAGAAAAAAGTGGGGGGACTCAGTGTGGATGTCCAAAATGTTGGGGGGAACAGATAAGAGAAGATAAATGAAGAACAATAGAGGTACTGACTGCAATAAAGCAAGGATAAGACAACAGAACACCATGTTAAAGTCATTATGAAGCAATCAATGGGTAAGGGTAGAAATGATGGTTGGAGAAGTAGAAGAACCCAAAGAATGAGATGAGGGACCATAAGAAAGGGGTGAAGTGTTGGGAAGGGAAGAATCCTGGGAAGGACACTGCTGTGACAAATAGGAGTCACATGAGCATATTACAAAGATCCAAACAAGAGCATAGCTATGTAATTACTAATGCACAATGTCTCTAAAGAAATGGAGCAACAGATATTAAAACTACAAGTGTTCTTTCTTAGATCATTGGATTTAAACACACAGCAGTTTACATCCCAGCTAAATAATAA